GTCTAAAAGTCCTAGTATCCCCCTTAATACCCCCTATGGTAGTCCTCTAGATCACCTCCATTTTAAGGAGTTTAGACTATAGCTCACATGTACGCATTTGGCTCCAGAAATCTGATGTTAAGCAATCCAACGAGCTGCCAATGGCTCTCGCTGACGCGAAGTCCAGCCACCTTTGACAGCAGCAGCTGCGGGCAACACCCCAAACCCTGTCTCCTTGAACCCTAAACCCTTGAACCCTAAACCCTCAAGACCTAAACCCTAAGCCCTAACCAATGGCTACCAGAGCATATCTTCAGACATTTTCAGGAAACCAGGGGTGCTGCTTGGGTGCAATGGGTGCAGGCAGGTACGACTAACTCAGAAGAGCTGCAGCAGCCGTATCCTGGCCACGGGCTGCTCCACCAGCGCGCACAGCGTGCGCATGATGGCCGGACCGATCATGAAGAAGAGCAGGATCGGCTTTCGGCCAAAGCGGTCAGACATCTTCCCGAAGACGGGGCTCAGGAAAAACTCCGCTACGCTGCCGAGGGAATAGGCAGTTGCAAGGCCGCTCGTGGCTTGCACCACCGCAGCGTCCCCAAGCGGAGCGGCTGTCTGCGTTATGAGCAGCTGTCGAGCCTGCAGGGTTGCGATGCCGGCGCACGATATCGCGGACGCGGTCGCCCGAAGCACCAGCATGAAGTGCTGGCTCTCCGCCGCAGATGCCGCAGCGTTGCGGCCTTTCATCCCTGAAGGGCCCGAAGTCATGGCCACCTACGGCCCGCCCCTCGCAGGGCTTGAAGCTAAGGCCGGTGGTAATCACAGAAAGTAGAAGCTAAGCGCAGCGCATCTGCACTGACTGAACTCTGTGCATGGAGGCGCCTCCTTGCACGCCGCGTCAATAAGATCCTGAGAGTGGAATTCGCCGCCTGTGCTGGAAGCAGGCTCAGCGCAAGAGAAGTGCTTCTTAGATGAGCAAACCAGCCTTTTTGAGGACCACTGCACCAGCACTTGTCGCCAGATCCCTGTCAGGCCGCTTCAAGCAGGGAAGCAGAAAGCACCTTGAAAATTGAGGCCTGACGAATCTGCTTTGGCTGCATATGACCTGGTCCACGACTATGCCAGCTATGCGACTCTGGAACTAACTGGTACTCAAGGGCAACAACACATCCTGCAAAACCCTAAACCCTAATTCCTATATTATAGTAGTTTCCATGTTCTTTTCCATTATCCCTATATAACCCCTAATACCCTAAACCCCAAACCCTAAACCCTAAACCAACGGTCGGCTGGACAGGCACTGGGTCCTTGGTTCTGCCAAGCGGCAGCAGTGTCCTTCCGAGAGAGCCGCACAAGGCCGGATAACGGTTTCGCACCACTCCTCAGCGAGCCGGACAAGGGTTCAGGGTTTAGGGTTTAGGGTATACCGGGACAATGGAAAAGAAAATGGAAACTACTTTTATATAGGGGTAAAACATAGGGGTTATACAGGGAAAATGGAAAATAAAATGGGAACTACTATTTAGGATTTAGATGTTTATGCATGTGACTCCTTTCTGGCAACTACCAGATTGGGACCCCAAGAGTTCCATTTGATTGTCCAGTTCCTTTTCCATTGCCGTCGCCACTGGTTTCATGGATTTCCCACCTTAGCCTTTTCAAAGCCTTAGAGCCTTTAGGGGAATATTTGTTACCTCCAAAATGGATGATCAAATGGAAAAGAATATGGAAAATGAAATAATGAAAGCTACCCTAAACCCTAATTCCTAAACTCTATCTAAACCCTAGACCCTACACCCTCAATCTCTAAACCCTAAGCCTAAATCCGTAAACCCTAAACCCAAATCCCTAAACCCTGAACCCTAAACTCAGTACTGGGTTTAGGCCTACAACCTGATCTTACTGGGAGTTAACACGGAATGTAGGGTTTAGGGTTTCAGGTACATATTGAGGTTATGTATAGGGAATCAACGACAAGAGAATGGAAGCTACTATAGTACATGGGGATCATACTGGAACATCATGCTTACTGTGGGATAGTAGGGAAGAAGGGAATTTAGGGGTGGCGTTCCCGTTTGCCCTACTCACCGCCAGTACGTAAGTAATTACAGAGTTTGTATGGGTTGAGATGGGGCTTAGGGTTTAGCATTTAGGGTTTGGGGATTACACACGGCTTTATATTGGTTATATAGGGGAGATAAATGAGATAAAGGGGCTTATATGGTTGAGGATAATTGCAACCCACATATAATAGTCCTCGTAAACCGATGATGAGCCCCTGATCCTATATATATATATATACACGCATCCATCCATCCATCCATCCATCCATCCATCCATCCATGCATACATACTTACATACATACATACATACATACATACTTACATACATACATACTTACATACATACATACATACATACATACATACATACATTAGGGTCTAAGGTGATAAGGGTTGAGGACTTACTGGGTTATAATTAGCGAATATAAGCGGGTTAGAATCACCCTAAGCCCTTTATTCTCCTATACATCCCCTATATACACGCTTACAATTGGATCAGTATTGTTACCCTGAACCTCCAACTGGACTTGGACTGGCCTTATCAGCGATCTAGTTCCTCTATCCTGAAACTTCCCTGGTTGCTAAGACACTATTCAGGAAACAAGAAAAAGGAGTACTTCCATCACCACAACAACTGCTGTTGCTGCTGCGGATGCTACTGCTATAGCAGATGGTACAACTCTGGCCACGACTATGACTACAACGGCAGGAAAGTAGAACAATTACCACTGGAGCTATGCTGTTGACCCAACGACCATGCCTTGGACCATGATTCAGCAAAGCTTCATCTATGGACTCCTGGGTACTGTGGGCGCTGTCATTCTGAGGGCCACCTGACAGAAATAGTCATAGCGATAGTACTAATAACCATAATAACAGTAATAATAGCAATAGTAATAGTGATTGTAGTAGTAACAGTAGTAATAATAATAACAGTAATAGTCGTAATAATCGTAATAACAGTAATAGTAATAGTACTAATAACAATAATAACAGGAATAATAGTAATAATCGTAATAACAGTAATAGTAGTCTCAGCCGAAGCATCGCGAGCTCAAGACTGCGAGCCGAGACGCTGCACCAGCACTGACCCTTACCGTCCTTGGCGCTCACAGGTCAGGGTTCCCAAAATTAGGGGTACCTTTAGGGTTTAGGGTTTAGGGTTAAGGGTTTGGATTATGGCATTTTGGGGTCCCCTATGCTCACAGGTCAGCACTCACTTGATAGCTTAGGATCTCGGGGTTTCCCTTTCCCAAATTAGGGGTACCTTTTTGGTGGTCCCTATAGTAAGGACTATGGTATTCTGGGGTCCTTGGGGGTTCACAAAATTAGGGATGCCTTTTTTGGGGTCCCTATAATACGGATTATGGGATTTTGGGGGTCCCCTATTAAGAGAAACTAAAGAGATGACCTTAGTTCAAACCCAGGGACATGATGCCGTATCATCTTTGGCCCCATGTCGCAGCAGGTGACATGAGAAAGCTGGTTGCCTCAGGCACATCAGTTCGGGTTCGGGGTCCAAGTTTCGTAAAGTTAGGGTTTAGGGTTTAGGGAACCGAAAAGACAATGGAAAGTACTACAATGCGGAATCAAATCGAAAATCAAATGTAGACTGAGCTTATATGGCGGACGGCATAGGGCTGCTGCGGATTGCAACCCAAATTCAGTGCTCCCAACTAGTGCCAGCACGACTCCTTTGCTGGGGCCCACATCGGAGCTGTTTTGTTGGCCTTAAACAAGACTGTTTACAGTTTGAGCTGAAGACCATATGCACTGGCTATATAGGTTCTGCATAAAGTTATGGACGGTTCTGAGAGGGTCATGTAGGGATACAGGGGGTCTAGGGGTACAAAGAACAGACAATCACATGGAAGAAAGTGGAAAATTAAACGGAAACTGGAATGATGCAACTTTTGGGGGTTAGGGGGTCGGTGGGTACATCACGAAACACCATCTTTATCCAGAATAGCCTTTGTAGAGACTATAGGATCCTGACCAGTTATAACTTGGGTTTTGACTACCTAGCTTCTCACGAATGCCACGGAGCATGAACTCTCTTCAACTTGATTCGTAGGCGCCTGGAAACTAACTGATGCAGCATGCTGAGCAGTAATTTTGCCAAGGAACATGGTTGCACAACCTGACAACAGGGCAAGATGGCAAATCCACGGTTTCCAACTGCGGGTCCCTTCCGGGACGCCCCGAAGATCAGGATCATGATATTTCGGTGGAAGGTCGTAGGACCGGGAACATCGGTCTTAGTCTGAGCTTGGGATGTGCAATGGCACAGCTTAGCCGGACCACGGTGCCTGTCCCAAAGAGGCACTTGCAGGAGCTTGGATGGTGCTGAATGGAGGGTGAAAGTGAAAAAGTGTAAGCCCTAGTTCTAGAGCTCATATCTTGCCCCAGTTGTTGTGTTCCATTGTTCTCTCCGATGCTCCATTATTGGGGGTAAAATCCCTAAACCCTGAACCCATGCCCATACATCCCCTATCACATTCACCCATGGTAGTTTCACAAGATAATGGTACCCCAATATACACCCAAGAATACATTACTCCTTATTATGGGGACCCCAAAAACGGACCCCTAATTTTAGGAAACCCCCACATACTTTGTCCCTATATGAGTTACAGTCTAAACTCCTGATATCCCCCTTAATATCNNTCAAGATGACCTCCAAACCGAACCGAACCGGCGAACCGAAGCGTAGGAACCGAAAGCATCTAGGACGTAGAAACGCAAGCAAGGGAGCCACACACTACGAACCCCTAGGACACCCTGGCAGCATGTTGGACACATGGGGAAGTTCACGGCAGATGTCATTGTAGTGGATTAGCAAGATTACAAGTACCATTCTTTGGGCCCCCAGGGTTGGTTAAGGTCTTTCAGGCAACTACTCCCCCGAATCCCTAAAGATTGAAGCCGGGGGGGGGGGGGGGGG